GGCCTGTTAACGCTTCAACAAAACGAGATAAGTGTGCATACAACAAAAGTTGTTAGGCGTAAAATTACTATAAACGTGCCTACACCAATATTCTTATGATGGAATATATAAACTACTTTTTATTCTATATATTTTTTTTTGTTTTGCAAGCCAAATTCAATTAAATTTACCCAACCCAATTTTAAAAATTTAATTATTAGTCCCGCCGATACAACCACGGTTTGACATAAAAAATCATAAATTAATAAGACCATATTTGCAGGAGTTTATAAACGTTAAAACGGTAACGTCAATCACAGTGTCTTCCTTTCTAGTAATCTTTAACATTTGCAATAAAAGTAGTGCAACACCTGCCGTTATGGCACATATCATGAGCGTGTTACATAACAATTTGCTGTGGTTTCCGCTGTAACTGACTTCAAGGCACATAAAATCTCACCGCAATAAATAGGTATGAGCACGTTTCTATATGTATTATTTGTATAGATACATACAAGTGTACTACGTGACTTTGGGAAAATTGGTACTCGACGCGAAATACATGTACAATACTTCAGTGTAATTACTTGTGCATGTGTACGTTATAATCACTTGCAAAACGCAAATTAAAACTACAACCGCCTAACCATATTTTCTCTCAAGCCACAAAATGGTTGCCCAGCACGACAGCTGTTATGCGGAAGATATACCTATGGTAGTTTCCTAAATATACCGTTACAGAAGGTCAAGAGGTGGGTTCTAGTTATGCTGTTTTTAAAGTAGTTAAAGGAATAAAAAATATTATTAAATGCTAAATATGCTCTCCATTTAATAAGTACTATCGTTTTTGTAATTATGATTTATTTCTTGAATTTTATTAGAAAAAGAACAAATTTGTAATATACATATATACCCTTACATGACTTACTTGTTAAATATATACGGGATGTATTAGTGTGTACTTGAATGTTTTAGCAACAATTGTTGAGAAAATACATACCTGCAAAAAAGAAAAAAAAGTAATTGTAATATTTTATTAATCGGCTATAGAAATGATACAAAAATATATTTATTTAATATATTGACATAAACCATTTAGCATATCGCACACTAACTACAAAAGATTCACAAATCGAAAAATGGCAAATGATCAGGGGGCACAAAAAACAGTTCGTATAAAAATAATTAAAGTTTTATGGTCAAATCGTCCACCATAATGTTGATTATCTTCTTTAAACAGCGTTTCATTCAAATATTATTGGTTTTCTAGTTTAACAGAGAAATTTTGAGACATTTTTGAGATAAGACATCAAATAACAGTGTGATAATCACAATCATTTCATCAAAAGTGACACATTTGAAATAATATAAATGATTAAACTCACTTTTTTCAGATAAAAAGACACAACTTCGCAGAATATTGCAGACAATTTACGATTTACTTCAGGAATAGCGACACAAGTTGATACTGCACAAGCCTGGCAAACGACGCAATTAGCACGAAAGTAGACTTAACGGCGATTTTCCAGTTAGGTAATATAGTGATGACAATGAATATTCTTGGGTAGGTAGAGGAGTGTATTACGAATTGATATGTTGAAAAAATGTATTTTGCAAATTTTTAAATTGTGACTATTTTGTAGTTAGTGTGCGATATATTGGCTGTAAATATTTAAGGATATCAAAAATAGCACTACTCAACAAATCTGAAAGAAAAACTTGCAACTGATGTGTTAAGAGGTATGTAGGGGTATTGGAGTTGCCTTGATTATGAATTTGAGTTCAAAAATTTTCCATCCCATACAGCTATTTTTGTCATTTTAGTAAATGATGGTGATTTGACTCCTACATCCCATGACAGCAAGCCAATAAATCCTACGTGTTAGGACCTTATTATCCCAAACTTAGCAAGAAAAAGCCTCTAACATCACAGTCGTAAAATGACTGTAAACTAATGTAATCACTTGAAACTGTTTATGCATATCGAATGCAGCATACAGTTTCGGAAATAAGAGCATGTTTGTAAAAATTCTTTAACTTAGTGTGATTGGCTTACAAAATCCAAAATTTTTCAAAATAAATAACCGATCATTAAATTACATTAAATTCTATGAATGTGTATTTTTTTATTTATTCAAAATACAGAAAACCCATTTTTTCTGACTTTCAAGTGTATATAACCCCTTAAAAGAGCATATGTATTGGATTGCACCTCTCCAACACAAGTAAAAACTTCGAGTGCATTTCTGGCATTAAAAACCCCTCATAAAGTCCTCGATCAAACTTCTAGCGTAGATATAAGTATGTACAGACTGTATAGACTTAATAATATATCTCTATAACGTACATTATTATAAATTACATAAATGCATAGGCAGTTGACTTCTTTCATCTCAAATCAAAATTAAATACTAAAGCATTTGCTTGGCATATTCCAGCTATAGTAAGTAGATACCAGCAAACAAAAGGTCGCGCTTGGTCCCTCACATCCCTGAACCGTTTCATTGAGCGCATTTTCAATGTCAAAATTGTAAGCACATAGCTAACTTGCCTTTGAAACATCATGCAAATCTGATCTTTGACAATGCACAAGCATTTCTCTAGAACCACTTAAAGATAGGCAGCCATTTTACAGCAGCACAATCACTGCCCCTCCGCCTTCTTGCACACCCACGCATTTAATTTAACAAGTAATTTTCAAATTAACTTAAATGTAAAGTGTAAACGCTGGTAACTTTGAAATTCAAAGATGCCAATGTAATGATTAGCCCTTTATGTGTATATGTCAAAATCTGTCGATGAGTATATGCGCCTTGCTATTAAGTGTAGAATGGGCTACCGTTATTAATCAACATTGTAACACGATTATGTCATTTGCAGGGCACGTTCCTCGAGCGACATTGCTTTCCATTCAGTTACGGTGCTTTCTTTACAAAATTTCAAGATTTCACTGTTCCATCATCCTCTCGTCATCAGCACATAATTGATGTCTTTAATCATCACGCACATCGCCTGCATGGATAACGGATGTGTGAACAGCAGTGTGAACACCAGATATGTTGTCCCAACACTGCACACCAGCATTGATTGCGCTTTTGGCATTTTTTGTTTTTGTAAACTGCACATAATTTGCAATGTGAGCAACTTGTACAAACGTGCATATCTAGGGGTGTGTGTGTAATTTTTGCACACGCTGGCAACTATACGCCCACAAATGCATTGCCTTAGTTTCGCCTGACTGCCAGTCTGGGTTGAGTACTTGGAAGCCTTGTTTGAGCTCGAGGCAGCAGGCAGCTCTTCTCTTGTTGACTGCCACCGATTTTATTGATTAATTGGCAGGGTTGCCGTGGTAGGGTTGTCGAGGCAGTGTTAGTGGGGGGAGCGCGGCTTTAAAGGAGGCTTTAAATTCAGCCGCTGTCAGTGCCATTTTGAAGAGGCTCATGTCCGTGTCTGTGCTCAAGTGGCCATCTATGAATGAATGAACACACTGATTTGTATATGTCGGCAAATATAATGTAGCATCATAACCCTGATCTACTGCCCTTTTTTGTTTTAAAGAGTTTTTGGTCCATTGACATTTTTTTTCCTCTTGTTTTCTGTAGTTCTCTATTTTTCCAGTTTTCATCGATATTTATGAGTACTCTGACATTGAAATAGATGACGGGTGGTAACAACTTACAAACTTATTGCCCGACAATGCATGGGAGATGGTACAAATAGAAAATTTTATAAATATTTCTTTGTTTATTTTATTAAAAACACTACGTTTTATGAAAATGTGGTAATTTCAGGTTTTGAGGTATGTAATATTCATGTTGAAGGGTTAGTAATATTTTTTGGTAATTCCGAAGAAATACTATTTCACACAAACCAATTTTCCGACAGCTGCGAAATTTATACACATGGTTATGTTCAACTACAGAATACATATTTTTAATTCTAGTGGCTGCCCGCCCCTAAATGGTTTAATGTATATATCTTCCAAATAGCCAAAGTTAACTCAACCAAATTTGCTGAGAGAAAGCCCTTTTAGCACTTTTTCATACGCTGTGTAAACGGGTAAAATCAGAAATAAGTGCGCCAGTTTAGAAAAGGAATTATTTTTGACTTTTCAGTTTGAAGTGGTTTAAAACCATGTTTTTTAGTTTTTTAAAACTATATTTATTCGATAAAGTGTTTTACAAAATTCAAATAAAATAATTTGATCGACATTAATCGGTATCGAATTAATGATGATTTTTTAATAAATGATGAAATTTTTGAGTACGAACTTTTCTCGTAATCCAAATTATTAACGATCAACGATCTTTTGAAGGCGACGTGTAATTTGGCCCAAAATAAGCAAAAACACTTTAAAAGTTATTGGTCAGGCCAAGTGTTTACGTATTTTATATTTATTTAATTTTAAATATATAATTAGTTTACCTCATTTAATTAGTATATAGTGCTGAAGTAATCATTTAAATAGCATAGATATGCAGCCATATAAAAGCTTAAGTAGCTAGGTATGAGAGTTACTTACCTTTTTATGCTCTCGCAACATGTTGCTGCAGAGTATAATAGTTTTGTTTTCTTTAAAGTCTTGTACTTCGGTGTGGGCAAACTCTATGCGATTCGATACATATTCGATTTATGTGCTAAAAGTTTGCATGAATTTCGATCGCAGGTAAATGTATTTGAGTGATTTGCATAAATAATTTGAAGTTATGTTAAAATATTTTTACTTTAGCACGAGTTTTATCCATAAAGTATTGGTTTCATTGCACACATACGTTTTTGAGCCAATTTTACTATAGCTTCATGAAATAATTTAACGTTAAGTGATTTCTGATTTGTTACTTTTTAGGTTATATATATAAAGTTCACATCACTACTTTGATATAACGTGGTCTTTCCATTACACTTACGTATTCGTATTGTTATTACACATTTCTTAAATTTTTATTCAACTACATCTCTATACAGTTTACAAATTTTCTTGTGAAAATATGTATTTACATACATACACTTACATAGGTAGATGTAAAATGACAAGAAATTTTTTAAATATTCGTTTTATATTTTTTAAAATTAATTTAATACTTGTATTTGCATTGTTATTCCTTTCTTTGCAATTGCTTTTCATATTTGCTCATTCTCTGGCTGTTTTCCTTCAAGCGCTCTTCTTATATGCGTTAATTTAGAATATTATCATAGTTGTTATTGTTGTTATATACTGTTGGTAGACATTTTTTGTTTCCAATTAGCTATACACTGCTAAATCTATATGCTTATTTACTTTAATTTGACATTTATAAAATATATGTATGTATAATATCATTTAAAATTGTTCATTTAAGTTATTGATAGATGGTTTGGTTTAAAAAGTTTTGAGCTCTTTGGGGTAGTCAACATATTTTCATAATACTCGAAAATGTGTCACAATATTTCTCTTATTGATTAAATTGTTTTTGTTCACTTAGTATTTTATTAATTACAGATTTGTTGTAGAAAAACTACAGTAAACACATACCATATACATATATAATAATTCACTAACTGTATGCGTAACGTATACGACATGGTGTATTAGTCAACAGCTAAACGACGAACATTATTTGTATACATATGAAAACACTTAATTGCCTGTTAATTCATTAACCTGGAACTATTTACTGTTATTAATTGGTTTTGTACGATATATGGTATATTCACTTAACTTTATTTGGCTTGTTCTGCTGCACAGTTATCTATTGCTGCGTGTTTTTAAAATGTTTTATGAACTTTTCAAAGCATATAAAAATTATTATAAAAATTGAAGTTATGTTTTACTTCATGTATTTATTTATACTACTTTCTGAATTTTTGCTTTCCATTTCAATGAAAGTTTTTGTTTTGTTTATTATTATATTTTTTAATACTGTCGTTATTTTAAGGGAATTAATTCACTATGAAATCTGATTTTTGGCATTTTTAATTGAATGCTGAGTGGGGAAATTTATCGATATGATTTGACTTTGCAACTCTCTAATAATATTCACCATAGGTTAAAAGTTTAAAGTTAAAAAAAAAACAATTTTTATGTATTAAACCCATAAAATATAAAAAAAAAATCAAATTAATTTTTCACTTTGTTTTATAGATTGTGGTTACCATTTCGAGATGTCTATTGTTGCACAAATACATTTTTTTTTCAAAAAGTCATAACTTCGACTGGTGTTTCTATTTTTTGCGTGTTCGTTTGTAGTAGATGCTGCCCAGCTTTAGTTTTTGTTTACCTCCCAGCCCTTCCACTTGGTTGTTCCACAATCTCCCATACATTTTTCCAGTTTTCTCTCGTCCTCTTCGATATAGCTACTTGTCCAACAGCGCCATTTATTGCTCAGAATATTTTAGCTATCCGACAATTTTGATTCCATATGGTCTTCTCTTCTTCTTCAGTAGTGGGGGGCATAATGTTGAGAGAGCTTTTGGCTGCTGTTCAATTTATGCATGTTGCTGCATTCTTGACTTAGAAAAATGCATATCTTCGTTTACATATCTATATTTTAAAAGGGGTTTATACTGTTTCTGGATTGGTTTGTTCTTTAAAAACATCGAAACTCTAACACATTTATCAAAAACACTACTTGACTTTAATTTATTTTACCAATATAAATATGTATATTTCACATTTAACGCGCTTTTTTGTTTTGTTTGCATTAAATTTGTCTAAGATTTATGGTTATTCATAATTACTGTTATAATGTGTTGTTGTTGTATTTGTGATTGATTTGAAATATTATCGCATACTCCATTTTTTGCCGATTTTAATTTTTTTCAATTTTTTTTGTTTCAAATTTGTCTATGGGTAAATTTCATACATATGTCTCTTTAGTTTCACATCACAGCCAATTTTTGTTCTGACGTTGGGTCCGATGGTAAACGAATGAAGTCGATGACGCGTACTGTGGTGCATGATGCAGATAATTTGTTTGCTTCTCCGTTTGACACTTGGTTTCCGAGATGTGATTTTGAAAATTGTTGTGGTGTTGCTGTAAGGGATGTTGTTGCTTACGGCGCTGCCTGCCAAAGGGGGGCATCAATGGCATTCGTCGGTCATCGATGGTGATTCTCATGAAATTTAGCAATGTGAATGTGTGCCGCTGGGCTCTGGCCAATAGTCGCAATGGATATTTGATATTCGGTAACAACTAACAATTCGTCGAGTGCCTTTGTTATCCATCTGGGAAGTTTCCGGGTCCCAGTTGAAGTTTATCTCACTTGGGCTCACCCATCGTCTGACCAACGACTATGATGATCACAATGAAGACGGCCAGCAGGACCAGTATGCAACAAATGGCGACCGCAACCATGGCGCTGTTACTCATAAAACTGTTGCGCAGCAGAAGAATTATCGACGAAAACGAATTATGGCTTATGAGCGCTGAGACGCTTACGAAAGATTACACAAAGCACGGGAGTAGCTCAAAGCAGTTAATAAATCAGTAAATTCACTTCGGTCACACTTTTGTTATCAACGCTATGTTTCACCAGAGCAAATCAGAAAGAACTTAGATGTAGCTTTTCACTTGCCGTGAATTGCGTCGTTTTGTTTTATCGCGAATATCGTACTTTAGGGTCTCGCGTGTGTCAAGTTGTCAGCTTTCTTTTTCCACTTTTCAGCAGTAATATTGAGTGGTGGTGTTTGTTGTTGCTGGTTATTAGTTGCTGGTTTAGAAGTTCCTTTTCACTACAGGTGAACAGAACAGACGTAATCGCATTAAGCAAATCTCAATTGTGGCAAGTCGTCATTAAAATTAATCGTTCTTATTTGTTGTTTTCGTTTTAATTTGTGGCTTTTGTTTGTTTTCACCGAAGCACTAATTGACTTAGGCAATTTTTTATGTCCTTGTTTCTATGTTTTTTTCGACAATTTGTGCAAACCAAGAAACTTTTGCACTACAAGCTTTGCATAAATTAATTTGTAATTGCTGTGGTCTTCCTCTGTGACGGAAGAATGTGAAAATTACTATACTTTCTAAGTAATTTGGGGCGTAAAATATTCAAATGGCGTGTGAAATGCTAGAAATTTCCGTCTCCTATGTCAAACACTTTTCACCAAGCTAAAATCGCTACGGAGCTTATATTATACGCATATTCGTCTATATGTGCACCCCACCAAATCAGAGAACGCTAATGTTCACAAAGAGGCAATGAATTATGAAATTACCATATCAAGGATATATTTGTTAACATTTGTTATTTTAGTAATTTTTTCAAATTAAATTTTTATATAAGGTCTAGTTTGATGTCAAAGATACACCACACTCTGAAAGTCCAATTTTCGAAAATATCGATAAAGTAATGAAAATCGTCAGACCGTCATATAGCTAGCTAGACATTGTACAACAAATCGTTTGGAACCATTTACCATAAAAGGCTGGATACAAAAATAACCTTGATATACCTATATTTGTATGACACACGTGCCCGAGCCTGATATCTATGTATGGAGATTGATTTTGCTGATATATTAATTTCAGCTGAAGAGGAACTTTTTAAAATCGACTGTTGACAATGTTGAATAAAACCTTTAATTTACAGCAAAAATAATGGATTACAGTGCACACAACAGCGCCACCTATCTGGTCCAACTTAGAAAAATTCCTTAAAATCGTATGCAAAGTTAAGAATATTAGTTTACAATAAAATTGGACTGGAACGCCTCCCCATCGGTTTTAAAAATGTTGTAAATTGCAAAAAATAATTTCTTACAAATCCTTTAAAGTTTCGAAACATGAAGAATATATACATTAAGTACACTTACTTTGTGTTACAAAATCGACTTGATACCATATTTTGCGAAATATACTTGCATGTGTTTAATGGTCTATGATTCCAAATATATAATTTTCCATAATTACATATTAGTTTTTAATAAATGGCAAAAACTTTTCATACCTGTAAGACCACAACTGTAACTACTATGTAATTATTTGTTCAGTCTTCACCACCATACAAGCATTTTGGTAAAACGTAAATGTCCTATGCCATGACAATCCGCCCAATTTGTTACATGTGCTGTAAACTAAAAACGCACACAGGCGACATGGTGTGACGCACTTCATAGGTGGAAGTGTTGGGCTGCATTTGAAGTTGATCACACCAGAGGAACACTCAAGACGCCAAGGCAGCAAGACAGTGAAATATGGTCAAAAGAGCTACGATGTCATTTTCGTTCTTTATATTTGCTCAAGTCACGCACAAAGACCCCCTAAGCCAACACGCACTTGGCACAGAGCGTAACTAACAACAGACAGATAACCTTACCCTTAACACTCATATTTTGTTGTCAACACTTCAGATAGCGCACACATGTGACACCTATACGTATACATACATGTATGGGTGCGAAACAAAATAGCGGTGTGCTGTCAAGGCTCTGACCCTTACAATCCACAAGGTGGCCTCAATACAAATACGACACACAAATATTTACTACAAAATGTTTGACATGAAAAGGAAAACCAAAGGATTTGGAGAGTATACGCACTCAAAATGTATATAAAATATATCCGCTTATAGGCTATGGAAAGAGAGATAAGTGCACAAGTTATAGTTACTGGCTAAATCCCTCTTGACAATCTTCCATGCAACTGTTGATTTATTGTGGCGACGGAGTCGCATTGAATGCACCACATATGTAGATATGTGTGTAATTTGTGTTTTCATGAATTGAAGTCATTTATATGAAGACATCTATATGTTGAATTAATGAAAATTTGCACACCCAAACTAAGTACAGTCCAGCTAAACACAAAATCAAAGCGTGAAAATTTGTCGACCGACTGACTTTTCATTGCGAATATTTCGGTACTTTGCTACAAATCTCAGTAATCTTTATAGCAATGCATAATGAAACAGTTAGTCGTGCCACTACCTATCTACAGCGGACACAGAGTCATTGCAGTCGGCTGTGGGAAGCAATTGGCGTGATTTGTGAATTCAATTGGCTATTTTGGTTTGAGAGGGTTATGCTTAATATGACCAAGAGAACACGGTTAAATGAACCGCAAATGATTTAATACAATTTTGGGTAGTGGCGGGTTATTCACTATCCATTGCGAGTGTTGGCTTATCTGTATTTGGTTTTCTAGCATAATGTATATGTGTATGTAAAGACTATTAAACAATTTTAGTTGCCGAATTGTAAATTTTAGCGGTTGACTAAATCTGGCATTTAATTACTGTGCAACAAATATATTAAATTTTGTATTTAGTATTTATTGTATTAAAAACATTATCACTTGTTTTCAATGCGCCAAATTATCGCAAAATGCCATTAATCGAAAATCTATAGATTGCTATAACTAAGCCGCAAATTAAAATACAAAACTGCAATTTAGTCACCAAATCGTAATAACAAAGAACACTTCTAGTTTAAACATTTTAAAAGAGGGCGTGGCCCCGCCCCCTAATAGGTTTAATGTATATATCTTCGAAACAATTCAAGCTATATCACCAACATTTCTACAGGACGAATTATTTCGGCATTTCTTGCGTCAGCGTTGAAAGACTTGAATAGTTGAAATCGGATGATAATCACGCCCACTCTCCATATAATGGTTTTATTAAAACCTACTAGAAGTACAACAAATCTATAACTAAATGCGCCACAGTCATCTGAGATGCTATGAAAGGGCTTTATGGGTGCCGGTGTTAAATATTAACGGTGGGCGTGGCACCGCCCATCCCCACATCGGGATTGGAAGCTTTCACTATTGTATATTTGACATTTTATATGCTTTAAGGCAATATCGTTTGCTCAATTGAGCTTCCAAAAAATACTAAGGGCTCACTCACTTAATATGGTGTCACTTAAATTTCAAATTTATTTTGAAGCGGGTTGGCTAAAAACTGTAGTAGTGCCACACGCAGTAGCAAGTGCTAAATTTTCATAGAATCATTAAAATTCGTCAGTTCTCCGCAAGAGAACATGTGCAAGACCTTTTCTTTCAAAAGAATTTAAATACTACATATACCCCAAGCACCCTCCTATCAAACCCCATTCTTGTAGACACCATAAAAGAGAAAACTGCAAGCAAAAATCATTTTCAGCGAACAACTTTCCGCTTGCCAAGCACAATGTCAAAAGTCAAATGTGCATTAAAATAATTGCACTTGTTTAGTCGCACCTTGAACGAAATTGCTGCTGGCAGGTGAAAACAAGAGCGAAAAACTTAGACTAGAAATGATGCTACGGCAATGCCATGCCGCGCTAGTAGCATATGTATGCACGAATTTGTGCATAAAAGCGTCATAACCAGCAGCGTGCAGCTCAACTGAAGCGGGTATTCTATTTTATCGCAAGCCGTGGCGTATACGCAACATTTGAAATGCGACGGCGCTCGCAAAGTCTGTGGCAACAGATGACGGTCACAGCTGCGGCAGCTGTACCTGCTATTATCACCACGCCTTTCAGAAATAGATTTTCAAAAATTTCGTAAATGCACCGGGAGAGATGCAGGTGAAAAATCCAACGGCGAAAAGTAGAATTGCTAAAATAGTGACCGTGTGAAAGAAATGAGTTAACTGCGAATCTCACGTTGCTGACATGCCGTCGCTTTTGCTGTTAGTATCAAGGCTTGGTGAGGCGTGAAAGTGCAGCACTTGAAATAGTTTTTTGCCATATTAATTTTACAGCAATTATTTAAAGTAAAGTACTATTTGCCTAAACATTTCATTTGTGTCTCGCACTTGATGTTTTTTCTATGGACTCTTAAAAAAATGTTTACAATAATGCAATTTACTGTGGCGGCCTTTATGTCAGAACTAAAGAACTAAAATATATTTCAAACGGGATTATTATGTAAAAAATGTTTGTGAAATGAAGGCTTTCGAACATATTCGATTTAGAATTATCTTTTCACAGGGTTGTCATATTTAGAATAACCATCAGCTAGCTTTTGCAAAGTTTGATTCCCATATTTTACACAATTATACCAATATAAGCTAACTTGTTCATCCTCAAGTTAAGATAAAGTAAATACCTATATGATTATTATCCCAAAAAGTGCAGTACTAAAGAATATAGTGCTGTCAGTTTAGTTTTTGGTTAAATTTTAATCTATAAATAATTGTAATACAGTTCTCTCTCTTATGGCAAACCACTACTCGAATAATCTGAAAGCAGAATATTCTAAGTTTCACTTCCTCCTTGCTAGTATTTGTATTTGATTTTGGACAGAGATCATAAGGTATGATCGAATACATTTTCCTTATACCTTCCTTGGATGAGGGATACGGTGCTTCTGTTAAGAAAATAGCAGCAAATAACGCGCTCAAAAAGTTCTGAAAATTCGACGAATTTTATATTCGAAATTTGGTTTTGAAATAAATCAAATAAAACACATGATTTTTGATTCGCCCTTTTTTTGATCGCTTATAAGAATTTGAGAATATATGATTAATATGGTGCATTAAATTTATATTCTATTTTCTCTTGATTACGCCAGTCTATTTGATTTATACAAGTTGTTTGTTCTATTTAACACTTTTCTGAATATATTCCACTGCAGTCAATATTTCAAATACAACAACTGTCAGTACAATGAATTTTGTACACATACGAGTATAATTCATTGCATTTTGACAGTATTCTTTAGCCGAAAAAAATATTTCGCATATAAATAAAATTATCAATTGCGTATTTGCAATTTAATTCATTCCTTGCAATTTAACTTATTTTAACTATATCAAAGTCAACATTTGATTTTCTGGCAAGACATTTCAACAGATAAGCCGAATTGACTTTTAATAATAATGCAAGCGCATGCATGAATAATGAGCAATTGCAGAATTTTCAAAACACAAACGCTCGAAAATTTAAATATTTGTATATGTATTTATATGGATGGCTAAGTTTTTCTGATGCATAATGCAAATGCAAGTGTAAACAACTGTTTCTGTGATTTCAGAAAGTTTCAACATACACATACGCACAT